GTTCAAAAGACGATATTTAGGTGAAGAACAAGCAACGTGGTGATATGGATTGGCATGATCAATGTCATTACTATGATCGAGACTACGCTCATATGAAGAACATTCTCTTTTCTCAAGTATAGTTGTTCTGCTACTTTATGCTTTTTCCTTTTCGAATACACTTTTCATGAGTGAAAATGTACATCGAAATAAGGGCTGACAGCGATTATTTCGAAAAGGACGACAACATAAATGCTTAGTGAAACCTACATGATTGAGCGGAATTTTGAGGAAGAGAATGAACTCTTCTTTCACGAACTTTTCTTGTGAATTTTCTTCGCCTGCCATCAAAGTGATAGTTTTTTCCTTCATTTTATGTAGAATAGAAATAGGAGCTAAAGGCAATGAAGTTCGCTTCTGATCGCATTCCTAAATGAGATTCAAAAACAATATGCGACTTAATAGTTTTGGTTCCAATTTCTTTATGACGTCACCTAGCCATTTAGACTTCGCATGTTCTTCACACATTTCGTCCTTCAATTATGTAACCCTTGGGGACTTTTTTCAATGTACAAAAGTATTGTGTAAATTTCTATGCAGGAGAAAGAAAATGGAGATTTTGTTGTTTTTCTAGGCTTTAAATTACTCAACGATCGGAGCGCCAGTAGTCAGATGCGAACAGTGGGAATACGACCAATCAGTAAGTTTATTTGTATAATTGTCTTCTTTTAAGGTGAGACTCATAATGGTGAACAATAAGGACCAAGAAACTTTATTACTGCTTCATAAATATCAGGTTGTTCAGAAATAAGTGGGCGTTTTTAACTATATTATTTAAAATGTCGTAGTTTGCTTCATACAAAACTTTATTAATAAAAATGAAAGAAACCGAATCTACACCTTTTTGCCAATGAGCAAAGAGTTTACTTATTGCAGTTGCATAAAATTCTGGAGTTCTGAAAGCGATGAATTCGTTGAAGGCATTTTTTGCGTTATCGTGGTTGGTGAAGCGTTTCTCGCGCAAGAAGTTGTCAAGGTGGTTGAAGAAGTAATAATCGGTAGGCGAAAGGTTTGCTGAATATGGCAGATGAGATAATGTTTCGTAGCCCAACTCGTTCAACTTCTCCGGCGCTGATTCCGTGACGTGCGGCAGGACGTTGTCATGGAGAAGGATTGGTCATTTTCCGTTGACTAATTCCAGTCGTTGTTGTTGGAGTTTGCGTTGAATTTTCTTTTTTTTTTTTCGAGAACTTCGTTGAATTGTTGGCAATACTCTCTTCCATAATCGTGTCGCCCGGATTCAAAAAGCTGGGATGAGTCAGCGCTGCTTCAGACCACCAAACAGTCACCATAACCTTTTTTTGGTGGAATTTAGCCTTTAGGAAGTGCGGTGGAGCGTGATCGCAATCCAGCGATTGAGCTGAACGTCGCCGGTTGTCGTACAGAATCCACTTCTCGTTGCGCGTCACAATTGGCTCAAGAAAAGTGTAGTTTTTGTTGCGCAAAATAACAGCAGACGACATTTCAAAACGGCGACTTTTTTGATTACCATAATTTGTGCGGCATCCACTTGTCGACTTCTTTTTTTGTCTTTCCCATGCGATTCAAATGAATGGAAATTGTTTCTGTGCTTACGCCAAGCTGTTCTGCAAGCTCTCGAACAGTTATTCGCGTATTTCCTTCCACTAGTGCCTTTAATTCGTCATCGTTATGTTCACTGGGACGCCTGCAGCCTTCCTTATCTTCCAGTTCGAAATCACCAGATCCGAATTTCCGGAACCATGTTCGCACCGATGATTCGCCAACACTACGTTCTTCCAAACTTCATTAATGCTTCGTGCCGTCTTTGCTGCACTACGACCGAATTTGAACTCATAAAAGAAATCACAATGTTATACCTTTTTATTTTCTGCCTAATATAATTTCGCGGCAGAGTACTAAGCGAAATACAACCACAACGTTGCTGAGATATTTGCAAAACTCTGGATCGCAGTTGTCTATGGTGGGGAACGAACGCGCTATTGTCCTTTCCGGGGAGTAACGCGTTCACCACCACACCATGCAGGTCATTTGTTTCGCATGTCTCTCAGCTATTATACTACAGCCGCAGCCCGACTGGGTTCTATGCCGATTTGGGCGCCCCAGATCAATCCCGCTGACGGGTGATTGCTGTGGCAAAGATCGATAGAAATAGCTGAGAGGCAGGCGAAACAAAGGACTAGCATGGTATGGTGGTGAACGCGGTACTCCCCGGAAAGGACAATAGCGCGTTCGTTCCCCACCATAGACACCTGCTATCCAGGGTTTTGCAAATATCTCAGCAACGTTGTGGTCATAAAAGAAAATTTGACGGATATTCATTTTTGACATCCAAAAATTCAAAGCTCAAAATTGGTAAAAAAAAAGATTAACTTTTGAAGAAACATATTGTGCGGGCCCCAGCACAGTCTCAACTTTTCGGAGATTTGCTGGTTAAGCCATTATGGTTCCCTGGAGTCCCGAGGTCAGCCTGGGCCAAAGTTTGCCCCAGGTCTTCACCACCACAAGCATTCGCAGCCCTTGTGGATCAGGGAGAGATTTACGACCATGTGACTTTGATACCGGGACAGTGGTGGATCTTGGTATTCGTTTGCTCTTAGCTAGGCTTCCTGATGGAAACACTGAACTCAGGTACCCAGGAACACCTTCCAGCCACGGCAAGGCGGTACCGTTAGAAGGGAGAAAATACATTAACACAATAAATGTTCGTATGAAATGCTGAGATATTTGCAAAACTCCGGACCGCGGCTGTATGCAGTGGGGAACGAACACGCGCTGTTGTCCTTACCGGGGAGCAGCGCACTTCACCACTACACCATCCGGGTCCTTCGTCTTGCCTGTCTCTCAGGCTAGTTCTATCGATAAAAAAAAGGGTTAAGATTGTGATTATAACTAAGCCTCAGCTTAACTGGGCTCAATGCCGATTTGGGCTCCCCAGATCTATTCCATTGACGGGTGATTGCTGATGGCAAAAAGATCGATAGAACTAAACACCCGCTGACCGGAGTTACATACGGTCAGGTCTATGAAATAAATGGTATGATCTATGAAATATTATGCGCAAATGCGAGGGTTAGCAATGGAGCAGCGACTGGCACCCAGTATCGCCATTTCATTCACGCATAAAATAGAAACGCCCGTTATGGATCTCCGGCTGGTACTCTGCTGTATATATATAGATGATTGTTTTGTCATTTTGCCTTTGCAGGAGAAGCTCGACAAATATTTTGATTTACTGAATGAGAATCGATAGAACTAGCTGAGAGACAGGCAAGACGAAGGACCCGGATGGTGTAGTGGTGAAGTGCGCTGCTCCCCGGTAAGGAAAACAGCGCGTGTTCGTTCCACACCTGCGGTACGGGATTTTGCAAATATCTCAGTATTTCATACGAGTTATATTTCGCAACATACCCTGCCATTAAAAAGAAAAAGGCAGTAAATAAAAAAAAGGGTTCCAATAAATGTTTTAAAACGATCATTTATTTCTGAACAACCTAATAATAATTTCCTTGAATATTTGGAATAAAGAATTTGGAATGCTGCTTTTCCATAATATGTCTAGTTTTGCGAAACCTTTGAAATAACGGTTATCAAAGAGAGTGAATGGATTTCATTGTTGTTTTCTAAAAAGTTTAGGCTTTACTAAAGAAAAATCCTTTAACTCAACAGACTAACTGAACCTCGACATAAATTGTTGATATATTTATTTATATGATCTTCTAAACTGATCTTTTTGAGTTGATGAGAGGTTGGTATAACTTTTCGTTGCGTCGTTCTTGTTGTTGTTGTTGTTGCTGTTGTTCTTGTTGGCCGGTGGCTAACGTTTTAGCGACTTCGTCTTCCTCAGAGCCTGGAGGTATTTTATGTAACGGTCTGTGATAATGAGGCGTTCATCTTTCTGGCTCTTTATTGGATTTTTGAAATTTGTCCAAAACGCCTCAAGAGTCTTGCGTGTTGCTTTGAATCTTGAAAAGCATCAACGCGGAAGACTCTTGAGACGGTTTCAATGAATTTCAGAAGTCCAAAGATGAACCGGAAAGCTGAATGCATCACTATCGTATGTGACCTGACGCTTTATTTCAAAATGATATTTTGACCCTTGGCTGTGTCTCGCTTGACGTCCCACTTGAACAACACGCGGGCCAGTCTCACTCGTAACAACACCGCGAATAGTTTCTTTGATCAATATGGCGCTGATTTTGAAGTATGGTCTTCACTAATACTATAAATATTTCACCGAATATAAGGCTTCTGCTACATAAAATACGTCCAGGCTCTGAGTTAGGCAAAATCGCCGGAACGTCAGCTATCGATCAACAACACTAGCGACAACGATAACAATGAAAACAACAACAACAGCGACAACGAAAACTTATACCAACCTCTCATCAGCTCGAAAAGATCAGTTTATAAGAAGTCCTTTAGTTGCAAGAATAATCGTCGTTTAATAAATAATATCTATTGAAGTATTTGGAACTCCCGTCTTGAGATGGCGTTCTGGACCTAGCGTTTCTTCCATTCGTTTCGCCGTTTCGTAACCCTCATCCATCGAGCTAATTCTGTTCTTGTTTGTGTACTACAGTGACCTGCGAGTTTTCGTTCATTGCTGCTATGTTAAAAACCCGTAGAATCTTGAAATATCTGCGTTCGGGTATTTCCAGTTATTCTTCCAGAATGGCAACGATTATTGCGACCAGTTGACTTACCAATAGACTTCCATGTAACAGGCCGAATTCAAAGAAGAATATGATTGCCAAATATATAATTTAATTGAAAAAAAATAGGATTTTAGACTTCTTCTGTCTAATTTACAACTTTTATCACAAACTCCTACAAAACCATGCTTGGAAATGAACTAGTTAACCAAGCCTACATAGAAATTTGAGTAGTACTAAAACACCATCTTGCAATGTTTTGTTTTCTATTTCTAATTAAAGTACAGTAAGATGGCTCTGTCTTTTGTTATGATTGTTACGCAGGTGATGGAAAAGACGGTAGTAACTGAATGGAATCGAGTCTGTGACAATAATTGGAGTCGAGCACACGTTCATATGAGCTACTCGCTCGGGTATCTCGTCGGTGGATTGCTAGGTGGATTCGTAAGTGATAGGTGAGGATAACGCTACGAGTTTTATTTTACTTTCACTTCTATCTATTTAATATTATTACAAGGTTTTCTACGTTTTACTGAACTCACTTGATCCAGTCGGCGTTACCCATGTTGGTTACGTTCACAGATGCATTCTTTAAAAGCTACATTGCTTTCCTTTCACCTTTCAGTTCACCTCTCAACGGTATTCGTAGTAGCATTATAGACCGACTTCCACTCAATCCTGGCATGACTAGTCAATACATTGCTTTAGGTTGTAGAGCTTACATTAGATTGTTATACAACTTGTATTTGGCTATGGCTATCATTTCGACGTTTTCGTGTTCGTCAGAGTTGCGATGACTCGAGTTTATTGTCCGCAGCTGATCGTCCTTGCTGTATAGGTCTTCGTACTCCAACGAAGTCCAATCTTGAGGAATAAAACAGCACTCGAATGAAGTATCATCACTTAGTAGGCCCTTTTAGACACGAAGGTTGTTGATGTTCTCGATTTTCTCGATTGTTCTTCATGGAACGATGAAGATCAGCATCGCAAGGCCGAACCACTATAGACATTCGACTCGATTCATAGCGGCTCTGAAGGTACAAAGACGTCGGAAACTTATCCGAACAAAGATCCTTATAATAACTTTGTGGTAAGCTGAACAGTCTAAAGAAGTCCAATGGTAGTTCTCTTATTCAAGGTATGGTAGAAAGACAGCGATATATGGCTTCGGAATTTTGTCAATGATATTCGGATTTCTGCTTGCGTATTCACGAGAATTCGAAATATTCCTCGTCGTAAGGTTTCTGCTTGCCGCCAGCAATGAAGCTGCTGATTTGGCCGCCTATGTGCTTTGCATGGAGATTACCGGTTAGTGTACATTTAGAATACATATTTTTATAATCAGAAACAGGCCGCGTTTAGAGCAATGAGGTGCCCTGATTTATGCACGTTGTTGACTCGAGCTCGCACTGCAAGCAAAGCAAACCCGCCGTCCTTCCCGGACCAGCAGTTTGGCACCAGTCTTGTTTGGGAGGATAAAAGCAATGATTTGATACATTGATAGACCACTACAAGTCATTCTATGGGCTTTATACACATCGCACTCCATTACCTCTATGATGTTCAGTGAAATTGAACGCATAGCGTGGAGCTTTAAGGGATCGATCAATATGTCGAATGATTCATCCTTTGTCCTTTAGTTTAAAAAAACATTAAGGTGGATTTACTGACATTTAGGAGTGAAATACCGATCGATCGTCGGCAGTTTACTCCAAGCTCCATGGGCTTGTGGCTACGCCTTTCTAGCACTTGTTGCATATCTAACCAAGTCGTGGACATCAATACATGTAAGTGTTTTTTGAACGCTGCACTGCTGAACTATCGTAAAATAGTCTATTACAATAATTAAATATGGGTTCGGAGCCCAGGTAAGGTTCTGTGCTCGTGCTTATATCACAGTATCCTTGTGGCTATATTTCACAATGATGATATTTTCAGTATCTCATTGCCCTTACAAATATGTTCTTAAAAAAATTTAAATTCCTGAAATCCATAGAAAAAGGAGTAGCGCTTGCATTTCACATAATACTTGATACTCGATACTTGAACGGCCCATCTTCACTGGTTGTGCGGGCTCCAGCATAATCACCATTTTTCGGAGACTTGCTGGTTAAGCCATTGTGGTTCCCTGGAATCCCGAAGTCAACCTGGCCAAAGTCTGCCCCAGATCGTCACCACCACGGGCAGTCGCAGTCCTTGTGGATCAGAGGGAGCTTCGCCGCCATGCGACTTTGATACTAGGACGGTGGCGGATCCTGGGATCCTGGTATTGGTTTACTCTAAGCTAGGCTTCCGGATGAAAACGCCGGACTCCTTCTCAGCTTCACCTCTGTACATCGCAGTCCGACAACCAGGAACACCTCCTAGCCACCACGATGAGGCGGTAAACTGTTTGGAGGATTTCACATATTACCCTATAATAAAAAGAGAATAGACTGTGAATAAAAAAATTATCATATTTGTCACTCACGTGTTCACGCACTAATTAACACATTGACCTTAATGATTGTCTTCTAAATATGCATTTTACTTTAGTTTTACATTTTATTCCTCAAAATTTAATTGGTAATAAATAAATACGAAAACACAGAGATTTATGCTCATTAGCATTACTGAAACCGTACAATGCTAACTTTTTTTTATTTACTGCCTATTCCAATTTTTCACGGCAGGTTATTATGTGTGACTCAACCACAATGATGCTGAGACATCTGCAAAACTCCGCACCGCAGTTGTTTACGGTCACCACTCCACCGTGATTTAGAGTCCTACCGCCTCAGCTGAACTGGGTTCGTTGTCGATTTGGGCTCTCCAGATCAGTCCCGTTGGCGAGTGACTGCTGGTGGTCTGATTAATAGAACAGGCTGAGAGACAGGCGAGGCGAAGGACCCGCATGGTGTGGTGAAGGCGTTAGCCTCAGAAAAGGGCGTTCGTTTCCAAGCCGCAAACACCCGCGGCTCAGAGTTTTACAAATATCTCAGCATCATTGCGGTTGAAACCGTACAATTTAACATTTCAAACCCTATACACGGCTAAGGGTAAGCTCATTTAATAGCCACACCCCGGCCAATTTCTCGCTGTTACGTTATTGCGGAAAATGAAAATAAATAAGCAAAAAGGAGTACCATACCAAGAGTGTGATGTTCTTTATGTCTCTGGATCTGATATTTTACTATTGCTTTCGAATAACTTGGTTAATAGCAGAATGATGAGCAGGTGACATATATATATATATATATATATATATATACATATACATATATATATACGGACAGATGCATATACAACGACATTAAAAAGCATTTGGGCCATATGCCTCGCACTGTTGTAAATTTGTCAATGTAATTCGCTTAGGATGTGGAATATATGTGATTGGTAGTAATGTCATTGGTCAGTAACATATGAACAATGCCTTTATGATAACAGTCCAATACAGATGATAACTGTTGGATTGCACTGCATAGCGTTGGTGTTCATACACCTCTTACCAGAATCACCACGTTGGCTTATAATGATGAATCGTGTTGAAGACGCTGAGAAGATCATTCGTAAAGCATGTAAGAACAACAAAAGCAGTTTACCTAGCGATCTTGGACTGGTAAGTGTGTTATCAGTATTGCCCCACAATGGTTATCGTTTAGTTATTATCAGTTCAAAATGTTAACAATGTTATTCAGAATAAAGAGATTTCCGTAAATCGTCAACATTCTCGCTTATATCAAACTTCGGAAACCATTGCCAGTTGGTCCCTTATTATTGATGTGTTAAGAAAAGGTTAAGTTACTGAAATGGCCAGTTCACGAAATGTTCAAAAAAACCTTATCAGGAGTATAACGAATCTCTTACGGGCTACGTCGTAGCCCGACACTCACGAACACTCCTTCGCCAAAGTGAGCCAGTAAGCGACTAAGATCAAGAAAGACGCTGTCTTACATTTCGATGTAATGGTAAAGGATGAAGGATAAAACTTTCCGCATTGACCGCTCCTTGGCCCGAAGCCTTCGACCGCATCCGTAGCATCGTAGAGGTGATTGAATGCATATGTGGCTTATTCAGTGATTTGCGGTGGCCTGAGAATGTGGTGCAGCATGTGCTACTATCACCCCAGACAAATCTGCACCAATTTACTGACCTAGGACAGCTGTAAGGCTTAATGCACCTGGGGCATAGGATCGAGCCACACGGGAACTGTAGGGCATCTGTAACCATTGATAACTCCCAGATAGATAGAACTCCTAGATAACTCCTTGCTTGTTGATATGAATGACATTAAGGCAAAAGAAGAACGGTTTACAAGTAAGTGAACTCTCTTGTTCATCAGCAGAGAGCACAAAGCTGTAGATGTTAAGAAGAATTCTCCTCGTTTTCAAAACACTACAGTGATTAGCTTGCTACTATTACTTTATGCTATCTATTGCTGCGAACTACATTACGGTATAATCTGAGAAGAAATTAATTCTTAAAGAAACAACTCCATAAACAATGTCAACTTAGAAACCGAGTTGTTCCTGAAACTACTTTTGCTATTTCATAGGTTCGCCATGCTGAGAAGCGGAAATGGATGAAAAAAGATGAACGGCCCTCTTATTTCCATCTTTTCCGTGCAGCAGAACTACGAGTCCGGAATATCATACTCTTTCTTATCTGGGTTTGTCACATTTCAGTGGTATTCTCGAGAATACCTCCTTAAATTTGAGAAAAAATTTTTAAATGTCTTAGATCCAGGGATGAAAACCTAGATACTTTGATAGCTGTTAAAACGATGTTTCTCCAAAAACTTCGTTTACATGGATCCTTGAAGTACTTTACGCATGGGTTCGACTATTTCAGCATAGTTATGAGCGTTGTAAGATGAAGTGATAAATAACTTTTAAAGATTAAACAGGCTAAAAACAATAAATGGAAAATACAGTGAAGCACAGGAAGTCATAAAAGATGACGAACAGATGTCTTACGGAGATACAACCCACGTCTAACAATGTGGATTGAGTTTAGATTGCAACCGCACTGGTTTACTACGGTCTTGTGATTGCGCTCTCGGATCAGTCCTCACCGGGAAGGTAGCCTTTTTTTTACCTGTCCAGGAAAAATGGATTAAAACGTTTTCTTTTTGCTTGATAAATACCTTTAAGATCGGTGTTTGACGGAAATTTCTTCCTAAACAATGCAATTGCTGGAGCTATTGAACTTCCAACACTGGCGTTATGTGTGTTTCTGTTAAGATATGGTAGAAAAAGGTCAACTTTCTCTTTTTCACTTCGTAGCCAATACTTTGGCTTTTCTCCACTTACTAAACAAGGTTATTACTTTTCTTAAGCCAAAATTAGAAACGTATGCTGCATATTCACTTTACTAATGGGGGATAAAACAGCTAGTACTGATCTTGTATACACAAATCATTGCAGTGGACAGATTTATATGCATTGTCGTAGGCCAATAAAAAAAATCACAAATGCGTTTACATCCCATCTGAGACTTACTAACACTGTCGAATCCATTATTCTATGCCGACCCTATAGCCGTGATGAGGGTTTGTTAGATGTTCAACTGCGATCTGAAGAAGGATGGTTCATACAAAGTAGGGTCATCATCCTACCGCAGAAGGATGCCGACACTTTCATTCCAAAACCTACCGACCAGTAAATCAATGTCAGCAGTAGCTAAGCAACCGGTCTATTTGCAAGGTGGCAAATATCCGTTCTATCCATAAGTACTAGGCAAGACGTTGGCAAAGTTAGCCGTATGTGGGAAAGCCTGGGAGAAAACCGCTTAACCTACAAAAAGACCTGTAAAATGCCAGATCTCCAACATTTCGAAAAAATAGTCTATCCGAGTTCCTAGAAGCTTAGATATGCTACCAATAAAAACTACAATTGTTTCTGAAAGCTTTGAAAAAGGTTATTCTCAAGCAGAACTTGTCGAAAAGACTTAAACCAGTGAATCCAAGCTTTCAGTAGCAATTGATTTGCGTCTATGAACGAAAAACCCTACTAAGAAGTTGTTTAGGTCACAAATGATTACACTGGTTGGAGCTGGATCACTTCTAATAGCAGCAATGCTGGCGATGAACAAAAAAAGAACTACGGTAAGTAGCTCATCCACGACCGATAGTCCTACTGGTTCTTTCTTTGTATGTCCTAGTTACGCTTTTCATTTAGATGGCTCTAATATTCATGTTACTTGGCAAGGCATGTATTCAAGGAGCGTTTAATATTCTCTACATCTTCACTTCAGAATTAAATCCAACTATTGTTCGTAATAGTGCCGTAGGAATATCATCGATGGTGAATTCTCTTCACAGGCGAATAAGAAGACTGCGGAAGCATAGTTCCCCTTATTTAATACTATACTTCAGATAGCAAGAATGGGTGCTGGTGCTTCTGGTTACATTGCAATCCTGTCGGATGTCACACTCGCCATTGTTCCTATGCTCATCTTCGCCGTATTTTCACTTTGTGCAGGATTTTTCGTCTTCTTTCTTCCAGAAACACAAGACTTACCGCTACCGGATACAATATGGGTAATCGCTAGTTAAGAAACGTACTACGTCATCAGACACTTGGTGTCCATAGCTCGTATAATGTCTGTTCTTTGGAATTAACGACATGAATTTGTTTAGGATGCTGTAAGCATGCTAAGATCGGAACAGAAACCTTGCATTCCGTTCTCAGATGATGCAGTGGAAATGGAGTCCTTAAAAGAGAAGGATGTCTACAAACCAACAGGCCAAAGAACTCAGGAGAAATAGCAACGACAGGAGAAAGCAAGGAGAACTAGGTTGTATAAAGCTTATTTTAAAACTACTTGTGGTTACTCTCGTTGCGAATAAAAATGGAACCAACAATTGACTTTACAACAAAATAGACGGTAGTGGGAATTCTAGAAAACACTACATTTCTTCCATGACTATACGAAGTAGTGACACCGTGAAACGTAAATCTCAACATTCGAATCAAATTAAAAACGTTTCCAGCAGATGTGCTTCCTGGTTTTCTATAGATGATATTTTAGACTTTACACGTTGGTACAAAACAAATCCACTACACATGTATTCGTTCTTCACACGTTTGTCGACAAACTATAGCACGAGCTAAGTAAAATTTGTCCACGTTAGCGCACGTTAAAGACAATATGTGGATTTCTCAACATTAATGACAAAGAGCCATCGAAGACTACATGTTCAGAAACGATGTAGCAAAAAATGCTGTCATTCCAAGTAATTCATTGTAACTGTACAGAGCCAGGGACATTGAAGCTACGTCTATTGTGAGTCTATTGTGTCGTCTTGTGAAATATTGGGATCTTCGGTGGTTAGCGAATCATGAACGACCTGGAAACGAAACTTCCAGCGAGTAGATGCCATTAAAAGCAAGACGAACATTGCTATGGGAACAGAAACTATAAGGTTAGACGTGTTGGAATAGCCCAAACACTTCTTTTCCCTACAAAAATATTCCACTGTACAGAATAAGAAGCCATGACCTTAGTCAAAAAGTTGGGAATGTGGTAAGATAGAAATGTAACCTATAACGCTGAGCTGAAAATTACTAAGGAATAAGCGAAGGATATAGAATATTGCACGAAAATAACTCATAATAATAAGCATACATCTTGTATATCATCGTCTGAGTTCTCTGTGCCATTCTGGATAACGTCATTTTCTTCAATAACGCTTTGCTGTAGATTCACCGTTGCCTGAGAAATACCTTCCTTTTCAGGCCAACCAGTTAGTGCATCCTCAAGAAAATCGAACGTAGATTTCGAGGCTACTGCTCTATCTAAACCATCACCGTATTCTCATAAAAACATAAAACGACGTATACAAAAGCATAAAAAAGCTTGCTCTATCCACATTCAAGAATTCAAGCATTGATCAAAATGAAGAAAGGATAAAGCACTCAGTTTTGATCAAAACCTGAGGAATACACCATGCATCCGACATCATTAAGCATCGTTTGGAGGTGAATGAATGCTTATCTGGCCTTTACAATGACTTCCCGTGGTCAACCGATGTGTCCAGTCAGTGCTGCTATCCACTCAGACAAGTGCGGTGCCAATTTACCGACTTCGGTGAGGTGGAGGGCTTGGTAAGCCTGGAGGATCTATCCCATGTGTACTGCAGGGCGCTTCTGACTATTGCGCTATACGCGTCTCTGCTTTAAAATAACTTTCGAAAGTACCGAAGGAACATAAGTAATATTGGTTGGCCACGTTGTTAAATAAAAGACCATACTTAAATCCTTCGTTTGGATAGTTTTCCTTTTCTCTAGTACAGCTTGAGTGTAAGATGCTTTTGCAAGCTCAGCAGCAAACAATTCCTGTAAAACAAATAATATGAACAAAGGAGTTATTTGAAAGAAAATAGTTTGGCAAATACATTCTAGGATTTATTCTAGAACAAAGCAAATAGATTACACTAAATTGGATAAACTAATCCAGCCCCATGAAGATTAAACAAGATTTAAGGCTACACATTTGTCTAGCCTTCCTCTAGGAGTTCCTCCAACCCCATAACAAGATCTTAGTGTAAGACAGTGGCGAACGGCAGACAGTAAATCTCCGAAGACTGACTGCCGAAACAATGAAGAAATTATCTTTCAGACTATAAGCAGACTAAGCATACAAAAATGTTAAAAAAATACTTTCCGTCCCACAGAAAAAAGTTGTAATAAGATATCACACGCTGAAGCATACAGAAAACTGGGACCTAAAAAAAACCCTACTTACCAACATACCTACCGAAAAACCTAAAAACTTACCTATCTACCTACCTACTTAAACCTAAAAGCATAAAAACCGTTGTCACAGAAAGTCCGCGTATTAACGAGCAAACAAATTAAGCTTGTCTAACACCCCATGTGGTCTAGTGGTTAGGATTCGTGGCTTGTCTAACTATTAAAAAAAAACCTTGGCGGTCTGCACTTTGAGTTGGCCCACTGTCTAAGCCGGGTTGTGGGACCAACAGGCAATTGGATTTTATATCAAAGCTGTGGAACTCGTCAACCCACCTTTTGCCACAGTGATACCTGACCATATCCCAACACTTTGATTTTTTGTACCAAAACAATCTCCCAATCAACCATCGTGCTCATCGTCAACCCACTTAGCTCAACATTCACCTTTGCCAAACAAGAAAAGCGTGAAGGCTGACATACTCCAACTCAAAACGGGATGATCACTACCTATGGAGACTATCGTCTAACGAAAAACAAGAACCTTCTTCATAGAGTCTAGCCAGAAGTACTACGATTCATGACGATGAAATAGTTAACCACCGCTTCTATACGATGGATAACTTGAAGCTTTTACCGACGACCCTAGTCCACAAAGCCGGCGACTGGCTATGAAGGTGACGACCTGAAGCAGACTTTGGCCTGGCTAACTTCGGTACTCAAGGGAACCACAATGGCTAAACCAGCAAAACTCCGAGGAAATAGAGATTATGTTGAAGGCCGCACAATCAGTGAGGACGGGTCATCCAAGTATCCAAGTAAGTAAAAAAAAATAGTAACGGTAATCGAAGATGAGAAATCTTTGAAGACAACATATCTAGACCGATCTACTAACCCACAAACTAACAAAGACCTTTAAATTTATGTTTTTTCAGCCTCACCGTCGCTTTTGTAAGAAAGAGTACCGCATCGTTAGCTATCATGGAAAGTCCAGGATCCAAACGACATATCTTCTTGACGCGAGATGTTGGAATTGAACAGGATAGAACTTCTTCAAGGTCGAAAAGATTTTGCATAGTAGTGTCATCTTCTGTAGCCATTCGACCTACTAAACATGAGGAGTTTGATTACCAGTTACTAAAATAACATCATAGAGAAATATTTTCTGAAGGAACATTAGTGAAATATCCACGATGAATGTTCAAGCGTTGGCGCGCAAAATTACGTTGGCGCAGAATTTCTTCCTAGGTCATGTCCAACTCTTTGCAATTGTAAGAGAATTGGCATATAAGTATTCTTGACGTTTTCGAGATTTCTAGTTCTGTTTTTTGTTAAGCCGTTTATTTTGGTTTATTTTATGAGAGGTGATTGAAATAAATCGTGTAAATAATAAATTTGTTACTTATAAAGATGAAACGAAACGTGCTTTATAGTTTCTATCACTTCAGAGAAAGCTGACGAATGAACATTCCTTGCCGCTAATATCAAATTTAATGTCAAGATAAGTTTTTCGTAAGTTCTTTCTTTTCCTTTAAAAGTGCAATAAACCGTATGTTTTGGTAAGTCTTAAGGCGGAATCTGCTGAAGTGTTTTTTCTAGTGAATTCTAACTGTTCATGTTGTGAACCGATATTTTACTTACAGGTAAGTACCTTGAACTTCTTCCTAACGCAAACGTCAAGTCGGTCATATGCTTTATAGGGTCATAAGGTTATAACCTTTTCTTTTACGTTTTCAGGAGGATAATAGTGTTTTTCTTATCATTTGTGTTTCTGTTCGTGGCCTCCTAAAGGCTTACCGCCTCATCGTAGCTGGGAGGTTTTGTTGGGTTACGATATATAGGGGGGAATTCATCCCACATCTGGATCGCCCAAGCCGACAAGGAGTCCAGCGTTGCCATCAGGAAGCCCAGCTAAGAGTAAACCAATACCAGGATCCACCAGTGGCTTGGTATCAAACTTGTCGTATGGTTGCAAATCTTCATTTGATCCACAAGGGCGGCGATTGCCTGTGATAGTGACGACCTGGGACAGACATTGGCTAGGCTGACCTCCGGACTCCAGGGGAACACAGTGGCTAAACCACCAAAACTCCGAAGAATGGAGATTGTGGTGGGACCCGCACAACTAGTGAGGACGGGCATGCAAGTGTCCAGGAATGTTTCTGTTTCAGGGTCAATATGGCCTCCTTAATATATATGCGGCATAATGGTTGCGACAGAGGAATGATTATATTCTTATCTGATTTGTATCAGATAACGTGCCCTCATTGTTTTTTAGCTTTTGAGGTAACGATCCATTCATGATTTCTTTGTTTAAACATGTTTTCCATGATTCCACCACTTCGATCGTTTTTCATGGAGAGCGAAATAATTTTTTCTTCTCCCTAACTGCTTAGAATTCTTTTCTTTCTGCAAGCGATATTGCTATCGTAAGGTTTTATTCAAACAAGGGCTACATTTGGTGCAATTTGGCGGAATGTTTTGGTCATGGACATTTCTAAAATCGTTTGGCACATTTTCGCAAGTGTTGAAAGTACTGTGCCGTTCGCTTACTACATTTCATCTAATCGTTATATGAGCCTGGTCTTCTATTCCCTATTATGCTGCGGTTGATCCGAAACTTTTGTTCTAGTTTCCTAATTGGGTTGCCGAAGCTCTGCCGTGTCCATTCGTTGGTAGAGATGATTTGCCATGTTCCATCGTTATTAGACCGTCTCTAGGAACATTTCTTCAGTAGGTTATTCTATTTCGCTGTTGTCTGTTCCGATTTCCACCTTCCTTTAAACTTTAATGCGGAATGAGCGAGTTGTACAACCCTCTTAATGCGGACCTTTCACAGCTGTTAGGTTAAATTTAGGTATAAAGTTGGAGATGATTTGCATATTGGAATTTCTGGTGCACACTCTATGGTTCATTCTTACTGGCTGAGTGGTATATGTTCAGATAACACCACATGGGATAACTCAGTTATCGTCTGTCGATTCGATATGGAGACGCATGAGTTCGTTTCCTCTATTTCTACATGCGTTATTATGTTCCACTTTTACTTTTAGGTTTGACCAGGCTCTCACATCCTTTGTCAGTCGTAACTCAAATAGGTTTCTCGGTGAGGTGAATATCTATGAATGTTCACACTTCAACATTTCACAGTAATCCTAAAACCTACTTAAAAAGTGAAAGGGTGTATATTTGACGGTAAATGTGTTCCAGTTCTATAACGACTCGGAGTGGAACTGTTTCGATTTTGTCATGGAGTTTTTGCGATTCATCAACTTTCGAAACTATACGAAAACGGATTTCGTTGTTGAGTTTATGCATAATACCCTAAGCACGGTCGTTAAATATAGTAGACTGGTGAATAAAATAAAAGAAAATGGTTTTGTTTTGTTGTAACCAAGGATAGAGAAGATTGTATTTAAGAGAAGAATCTTTTCACAAATGTCTAGATAGTCGATGTATATTCTATAGCAATTTTTTAACCCTCCTTTCACTTACTTCCTCATATTTGTACTTCCACTATGTTTGCTTCGACTTTGGGTTCTTTATTTCTTATTTACTTATTGTTGCGTTGAATTATCATTTCTGCTAGGAACGTCCTTTTGCGTACTTCTTTGAATTCTTGTATTAGCTCCATTATCACATTTGGGTTTGATTTAACACTATGCGCTGACTTTGTAACAACGCCATACCTCTTCTTTAGCAACTCTTTCATTCTGTTTATGTGTTCTGATTGTATACCCAGCAATTTATTACCGTGCATAAATATTGCTAGCAAGCTCTTCGATACCGTTCGTTCTAGAAGCATCTGTCTGTTAATTACGAATAATATAACGTTTACGAAGTTGTTGCGCACATCCCCTTAACTGACACTGTCACCGACTTAGTTAACCTAATTTCAGGATAATGTGCTGAGGAAAATGGCAGAGGCTTTAGAGGATATATCTAGTGCGGATGCAGACCGCGCCATTGACAGACAAAACTTCAATTGCTCACAAGTATGTTGGGAATAGTGTTTTGCCGATGCTATTATGGAGCTTTCGAGGTAGCAGTGCTAAAACATGTTAGGTAATGATAGGGTTCTTGAAAATATCCAAAGTAGTTCATACTTCTCTTAAGGTTTACTAAGGAATGCCAGCGTCTGTGCAGTTGCCATGGTAAGGGGTTGGGTATTCAAGGATGGTGGGATATGTTTCACATAATAGGATGTCTTTGTTATGTCTCATAATAAATCCCCCGACCTACTTTCTATTAATCTCGGCATTGGCCAAATAATTCTTTATATTCTTGTTGAGCAAACCCGAGGTGTTATTTTATTCTTTATTCAAGAACAAGCTGAGGTTTCGGCGGATTTCGCCTTCTCTAGATCCTTGAAGGATCAAGTTGACCGCAATCTACTTAGCCAAACACTTCCATAACCAAACAGAGAAAACGCTAAACCAAACTAAGATTTCAATCACATTGAACATAGAATGGGTTCATCGCATACTGACCGCTTTCTATGGGTCGTCTACTGAATATGTCAGGCAGAGAACAGCCACACAGAGTTTACATGAAAGCGTAATGTGCCTCTCACTTTAAAACAGCAGTCTTAAATACTGCCCAATATCAGGTGTGATAATGTGGCATTTCTTCCTGTGGTCCATTTTCAGATTCTTAGAATTAATCCAGAATGCTTCGAGAATTTTGCGCGCTTGTGTTTTCGCCTCCGTTGCGAGAATCGTCACTTCTACTTCAAAGTCTTGCTCGTTATGTTTCTGTGTCCTATGCGTGCCTACTGGTGTACTTGGTTTAACTTTAAGTTTACCAACTAGATGTTCTTCTATACGGATGCAGAGTGGTCTACCCGTTTCCCCAAATGTATTCGTCTCCGCACGCTTTACAAGAAATCACATATACTGTAGCCGAACTCGTGCAATCACCGTCTCTACCATTAGGGCAAATTAGACAATTTTGCGTTGTACATTGACGGTCATACAGGCGGTTGCGAACTAGTTGGCTTCTTAAAGTGCTCGATAATATTTCGATTATTCTAGCCGAATTCTCTAAACCAGCCCTTCTTAAGCAGCATGTTATAGCTGCATTTAGTTCATTTGAGATGAAGGACAGGATAAACAGGACCTTATTATCGCTAGAGTTGTCCTTTGGAGACTTGGGCTTTCCTCCACACCTATCCTGAGGAGCTACAATTTCGTATCCATTTGAAATGACTATGAGGTTTCACCGAAAATGAGGTTGTTCTTGAATGCAGAATAAAGTAGAACCTCGCGTTTGCTCAACAAAAATATAAAGAATTCTTTGTTATGTGTTTGCTCTACCAGTTGAGTTTCGTTGTACTTTAGAATAAACAGTTCTCGGTAAAGAAGTCAAGTGTTTTTTTTTTCACCTTTTACTGAGCTCAGAAGACTTATTCGGAAAATAAGTTAACGTATCATGTAACCTCAAAACATTTTTAAACCTTATGACTCAAATGTAATGGTTGTAAGAGTATACAGGGTGCATGTAATGCGACGGTCGGGGGCGCCCTGCAATACATATGGGTTCGATCCCTACGCCCGTGGCTCACCAATCCATACCCCAGGGTCCGGAAGTTGGAAGAAGATTTGTCTGAAAAGACAACAACACTGAATTGATACTTCGATAGATCACCAGAAGTCATTGTAAAGGACAGATATTTATTCAATCACCTCCAACGATGTTTAGTGAGATCGAATACGTGGCGTATTCCTCGGGGTTTGATCAACGCTGAGAACTTTCTTAGCTTTATGAAAGTACCAACTATGGTTCAAAAGCTAGCCTCACCTGTTTCTAACAGTCAGTGAATAAACCTACATATGGACCTACTTTGTTGGTGGTCATCTTCAGCACAAACTTACTTGGAACGGTGTCATTTGAGTACGATATTTCGCTTCATCGTACAGGCAGTCGCTGATTGTTGGAGGTACAAAACCCCACGTGATGTTTAATATACTGATCGATATACGGAGTACCTATTCACCTACGATATGGATTGTGTCCACATATTTTGACGTGGACAATTTTTGCGTACATTTGACATGGCTTAACTTCTGAGATGCTAGTGAATCAATATGTAGATGCAAATAGATTTGTGTTGGAGTTTGGAATGGGAGTCGACGTCTTTGGGGAGATGTGGGTGCATAGGGCAATCACCACTGCCAATTAATCGTGTTCGAGTCGAGTTTTTCCGAAAGTGATAAGTTTCCCACCACCTGTTTAGTATTTAGAAAGTGTAACACTACTTTTTTGATTGCTGAATAACGTCGTTCACCAGTGGTCCGAATCAAAATCTGAGCATCTATGGAAATAGTTTGGAATAATAGCCCAGAGGCAGACTAAAAGTTTGACGTAAACTATCAATTTCTAGTATCTACGACAATACGGTAATGCGAGATTTCGTCATCTTCATTCGTTCGTCATGAGATTGGATAGCCCAGTGTGCACGACACTGGAGTTCGTTTGTCGAAATGTCGCTAGTCGAACTCCGTGATCTTTTTGTGCTCATGACCTTAAATAGTGATGACGACTCCTAGTTTCTCCCTTGCTTTCATAAAGAAACAGACTTTTTTTTCTCAGCCCTGATTGACTTTTTCGGAATTCTTGCCCAGTTCCAATGTTTACGCTTCTTTTTACTTACTTAATAAAATATTAAGGCATTAGTGCTTTCCAGTTTGAAGTATTTACTCATGAATATCGTGAACGAAAGGAAATTCCGAACTGTGGAGACCACGGCGGGAAAGAGAGCTCTTGTTGCAGTCTTTCATCAAGCAATAACGAAAAAAAACGAATAATTAACACTTCAAGAAAACTGCAGAAAGCTGTATATTCCCTTCAATGGTATGTTTCTTCTGAACGCCTGAACATTTTTCCGATATTTTCGTCTTCCATTTTGTCCACTCAGCTTTTTTGAACCGAAAAGATTTTTAGCATGCCAGGTAACGAAGTGATATCTGAAATGGTAAATAAAATGAAAGAAATCGGAGATTGCTTGGACAAACTACTGAAACAACAAAAGGCCGAATTCTCCGCAACGAATGTCCCGTTAGCGCCTTTCGATACACTGGACATGCAACTACTCCTTGGTGAAGCAGAGGTGAGAGGATTTATTCTTATTTCGACCGTATTAAATGTACTCTATATTGAATGAAAATAAAAAGAGATATGAAAACTAAGACGAGAAAAGATAAACGAAGACGTTTATTACTTTGGACGTGCTTTCCAACAGGTTAGTTGGACATTCAGGTCCCACCTTCACGAAATCCATTTGATGAAGTGGAAAAATCTGGATGCGCTGCTCGGGAGCAGGAGGATCTGCTATTGTTTGAAGCAGATGTGATGCTCCAAGAGTACGATCATTTAAAAAGTGGGTTGCGCCGTTAAATAGAATATTAACTGTTGTCATGTAATAACCACGTCTACGTCAATTTGTGTCAAAATTCGTTTTGTTCTGTTTGAAATGCTTTTTTTCTCCACAGACGTTGTGATATTCCTTTATCTACCTCCTTGGGAACTTTAGTCAATTACGCATGCTGAAGATTTCTCTTGATTATCCTTGTACGCTGTGTTTCTGGAAGATTTCTATACTATGCTTCACAGATAGTTCTACTGTTAATATCAAGGACTTCAGTGGAGGAATTCCCACGACTATCTGTTAACCTCCGCATTCATCAATAAGCTACTGTTCTCTTGATTTTTCAATTTGACCTTCCGGAGAAGACGAAATCCACCGAAATGTTAGCCAGTGCGAAATAAATCTTGTGCTAGCAACCCTGTATCTGCGTTCATTAGAGATTTTGCTAGGTGGACAACATTAAACGTACGAAGGGTAATATCTGTCTGCCAAGAATAGAACTTCCTTCTTATCCTAGCTTTTATCGATTACAGAAAGTTGTTAACGCCTTTCGAAGTAAAAATGGATTTGCTTTTCATAGAAATCCGAAGAAACCACAAATTCACCGCATTAGTAAATTGTTCCTGTTGCTGCTATTGCACCCATAGATAAGCAGATTGGTTCTTCAACTGTTTGGAAAACATAACGAACCATGTTGCATCTTTGAACTATAAAAACAGAATAAATGGGAGGAAAAAGAAAGTGCAAAGGTGGTTGGAAATTCCAGAGATAATAGAGATGATCACAGGATGTTAAATAATGCTTGGAAGTATTTGCAGGATTTCCGTTGTTTTAGTATTACCCACTGCGATTGCACCTATGCATGAACACGCCCTACCTCTGCAGCCGATCTAGCAATTTCGCGATGAGATGCTTACGCTAAAAGCAATAATAATAAAGACATCTATACAAGAATTGTAATGCAGCTCGTGTTTCTCGACCACATTGTGACCACTGGGCACTATAGGCGCTTGGCAGCGAGCACTTGAAGCGTTGTCGATGCTGGGTAGAGTTACGCGTTGGTTGCCTAGGTTAGATTTGGTGGTTGCAATAATAGAGAGTAAAGATTAAATTCTCAAAATTGGTCATTCCCTTAGGGATGCACAACACACTGGACTCCCATTCGCAGCATCGTAAAGGTGACTGAACGCATATTTGGCCTATACAAAACTTGTGGAAGACTACTAATGTATCATCTCATTGTTTTCATTGTCTCAGACAAATTTGGTACCTAGTTACCGACTTGTGTTGCATGGGAACGCGTTTATCTCTGGATATGGGATCGAACCAAGAACCACGTCCCTCAGAGAGTATCTGTAGCATTTGGGTTACACACGCTGGATTGTAACAATTTGTGAGATGTTTTTCCGAGGGAATATCTTTTCACAGCTTTTCGAACCAGAAAGTGACCGATTCTTTTAGAGTTTGCTTTAAAGGGATGGTAAGGAAATCGACAGCAATGACTGGTAACATGAAAGGATCAATATTAGCTACAACTATAGTTAAAATGTGGTGAGGTTCATTTTTACTTCTAGTTTCTTCATTTGTGGTGCTTTTCGAAAAGGTAGGAAAACTTCTTATAAAATCGAGTATTTCATTATGAAAACTAGGAAAAGAAGATTTTAGATGACCAAGCGAGGATTTTTAAACTTTTATGATGACTTCTATAGAAACGAAGAGTCTAAGGTAAGTGGTGATATCAAAGTTGACATCTAACGGTGGATATTCATCTCTAGAATTTCTTTCCTTAACATTGCATATAGAATGTCAACTCTTAACCACCAGTACTTATACAACTGCTTTTACAATAATATATTTGGTCCTTCTATTCTCATATTGCAAGTGTTGAAAGGTTTTCAACGGAAACTTAAGAACAAACCTAACAACGAAAAGGAGGGATGTACCGAGAATCAGGAAGAAACTTATTCCACAAACGATGACCGAGTTGAAATTCCCGTGAAGGATGCACAAGACGAGTCATGTGAATGCCCAGACAAGATAAAATTGGATGGTTGGGAGGCTGTAGGAGGTGAGTCGGTTAAGAAAAACGATGGAAAAACCGAGTTAGGTAAGATCTCCAAGCGAAAGATGGTCCGTATAACTATTTATGACTAAGAAGGAGGTTATAAGAAATAAAGCAGCGTGGAGCCTTAGAGGCCTCTGCTTTCCCCTAGTCGACATACTTTTCTAGGTGGCAAATCGTTTCTAAGCTATTACTTCAACATTTGCTTGTAAAGAACCGATCGCGGCACTACAGTGAGGAACAGCCATCGAGTAATGTAGGATCGTGGAACGCTCTGCTCTAATCATCACCCTGATCCATTCAAAGTTGACGACCATGCTCCTTTCATGGCATACACTTTGATTTTTAAATACTTGCTATTGCAATGAGAATAACAGCGGTGATTTAAACGAAATTCGAACATTGGTAAAAGTGTGTCAATTTAAATGTTTAAGGCGGAGAGTTCTCTAAAACTAACGTGGCCTCATATTATCAAGATGAACCGAGCAAAAAGATTGAAGGATTCACAGTGAGGCGACCGAATGAATTCTGCGAGGTACGGACAGTAATGTTATATCATTATCGTATCATGTTTCATCTAATATCAGATATCTTGCATTAGATATCGAGAAGACAAGCAATAACAATTGGAAATGCCATGTAGCATAGTAATCTGCTGAAGTTGAATTTCATTAGTGAGATAAGTCAGGTGTCTCAAAAGCAATGAGAGATAGGGGATAAAGGTTCATCGTGGGTGAATCAAGTTTCCCAGTGAGGTCGTACTGCGATGTGGAGATTCGTTCACTTAACAGGATTTCCAATTCGGTATCTTCTTCCTTCGGTCCAGCTGAAAGTTTCTAGGATTCGCTACAATCTTCATATCCAGACAGTCGTGATGTAACAAATTTAACCCCAACGGATGGCAACTGCCCATGATTGAGGCTTGGAAATCTCTCAGAATTCCTTTATCGTTGCGTAATTCGTAAGGAAATGTTTTCAGTTGGAGTAGACATTTGAGGAGCTCCATACACCTAAGGGACGACTAGTTTTAGTTTCATCTCCGCTACCAAAGTAGGTAGAAAGTTGTTTTACCGGATCCAGTTACCAGAGAAGCATTTTCAAAGGTGCGTCTTCAAAAGCCTTTACTTTTTCACCAAGGATTCTGGGTGAGCTTTAGTTGATGAGCGATAATACTGGTACCGTCTTGGAAGCTGGGCAAGTGGAAACACCAATGAAACTACAACGTTGCTGAGATATTTGCAAAACTCTGGACCGCAGGTGTCTATGGTGGGGAACGAACGCGCTATTGTCCTTTCCGGGGAGTAACGCGTTCACCACCACACCATGCGGGTCCTTCGTTTCGCCTGTCTCTCAGCTGTTTCTAGCGATCTTTTTGCCGTAGCAATCACCCGTCAGCGGGGTTGATCTGGGGAGCGCAAATCGGCATAGAACCCAGTTAAGCTATGGTTGTAGTTGAAATCACAATGTTTAACGTTTTGTCAAAAAAGGCAGAAAACAAAACGTTAACCAATGAAACTATTCTTTCGCAAAGACTAAAATATTTTGAATGTAAGCGCCTAACGATGTTTCATACGAACAACTTCCCAACCAGGCTGTAAGAGAAAATATTCTAGTATTACTGCTCCTCTCTCCTAATATTCTTGCGTACATTAACAAGCGCGCGATAATACTGGTACCGTCGAGGCACGTGTGACGCAGCGGTCGGAGACGCGCGGGATCGATCTCCGCGGCCCAGGCCCACTAAGCCCTCCATTCCTCCGGCGTCGGCAAAGTGGTGCCAAACTTGTCTGGGAAGATAGCAGCACTGGGTTGATACATCGGTACGTGACCGTGAGTCATTGTAAAGACCAGGTATGCATTAAATCACCTCCAACGATGCTTCGTGAAGTCGAATGCGTTGCGCATCCCGGAGGGATTGATCAATGCCGAGACCTTTCTCCTTTTATCCTTTTACGTTTACAAGCAGCGTCACAATAAAAATTCGTTGAATCGACTTGAAATACGTCGCTGTTGATTATTTCAAATATTCTATAAAGCTTCACGCGTAGTAAATGGAAAAAAGTGATGTAACAGCTTTCCCTAGAACTCGTCTTCAAGTCCGTTTCACTGCCCCAATTCGATTAGTGAACTAAAGTTGTACCTTCTTTTCCATAATTTCTACGCCATGAGCGTATAGACCAGTGGTAGTTACGTCGACCATTCAGCAAAAGGCACATGCTACACGGCGCTCGCTCAACCCCGTTTGGGGCCTGCTAAGCATCCCATCCCTCTCGGGACGAGAAATTTGTGCCAAATTTGTCTGGGAACAAGTCATTGGCACACGTTCCATGAGCAGACTCTGTGGCGCAAACTATTACGGGTACCAAGAGAGAATCGACTCAACCAGTATTCAGCGACATTCATGACGATGACGAAAATCTTCAAACAACAATTGAACTCGCACGCAAAAAAGTTCCGATACTTTCATGAACGGTGTATATGAGGAAATGAATTAAATAAGTGAAGTGCCAGAGTTCGCGCAATGCGAAATGTGGTGACGGATCATCAAAAAGAAACCCCACTTTTCCGTATCGTAATCCTTTAAATTTCTATTTGACAGTTCAATAATAGTACCCGAAAGTTTTGTCATCAGTTATTGCTGCTTTGTTGTTCAGGGCTCAAACGTTGTCTGGCGTAATGAATGCTTTCATCCATCGAGTGCACAACATGAACGATCCACACGAGGAGAACACAACGATGACGAAGAAGAAAAGAGGGCAAGTGATGGAGAAGGTAGACAACGATTGGTCCTACGGCTCTCCTTCATATAGAGGTCTCATGCTGGTTAGCCGCAAGGCTACGTGGCGCGTCACCAGGTGGCGGATAGAGGGTTAATCGCGGACCAAAAGCGACCTTCGCTTCCCTATGTTCGGCAAGCTATACGTGTGTATAAAAGAACTAAGCAGTAAAATAAACGGCCTCATTATCCTGACCCTAAGAGTTCCTGATTCGGCACCGTTGAATAGGACGAATACGGAGAGGCTGCTAAAATCTCAGAGTCATTTTAATCTGCCTAAGCCCCAAAGAGCTAATGTCACCCTGGCCGAGACGAGAAGACGCCAGCCTTTCAACGCCGTCTATGACACCGGAGAAGAACTGTTCCTCGGAACAGGCGACAGTAGTCGCCTGCGTCGGCGTTCTCTTCAACACGAGTTTGTCCATGAACACCGATTCATTCAAACAACATTGATTCATTCGAACACCTAACAACCAGAATCGGATGTTTACGATTAAAAAGATGTGAATCAATGCGGCCTTTAACAATCATCGTCGTTTACTCACTGACACCAAGCTATGTCGAAGACGAAGTCAAAGCGTTCTGTTTGGATTTGGAAAGTTTTGCAGAGAAACCATACATTTTTTAAGATTATTGTTGGAGATTTTAACGCTAAGATTAGACCCAGAAGAACGTTAAATTGGAAGCCATGGCTTATAATGGAACGAACAGGGTGAGCGGCTATCAGAGTTCATCATGATAACGAAGACCATTCATGGGAACACACAATTCCAGAGGCCCCACTCTCAAAGCTGGACGTGGAAGCCTCCTATTGGGGAATACGCTAATGAAATAGGCCATGTCATACTAAATCGAAAGTTCTGCCTAAAAGATATCGCTCTTATCCCAAAGTTTTTCACCGGATCAGATTATTTCCTTTTTAGTCTAATATTTCACTCTTCGTGAAAAGGAGAAAAGCCGACAAATTCAAAAAACGACGTCCCAAAACCACTATAAATAGGGATTTGTTCAGTTCATTAGTCTTCTGTTGGGGTAATGCCCTTATCGAAAACACTTAGCGCTCTGAAAGTTGAGAGTTTGAAAATCTCCTAGAAACACTGGTGCTAATACGCCAGCGTGAAATCGCACGAGCTACTGGCAACTGCCAACTCACGTGCAGAGTTTCAAAACAAAGCTGATAATTGATAAAAGATCTTAAAGAGAGAAGAGCTGCGGTTGTGGTCGAAGCAGCAGGGGGTGGGAAAAGCGTTAGCAGAGGCCATCCAACCCTCGCCGATTACAGAACCAAGGTGATTGCTCTCCGATTTGCAGACGGAACAGTTACAGCTTCCAGAATGGCTATTGATCAAATCATTTCTACTCGGATCTCTTCAATGGCTACGTTGTACTGCATTGATATGGAATAAAGAGTGATAGATATGTCGTTTAGCTGTTTTCCATTCTGAAATCCAACATACCATTTCGTCGGTGAGCAATCGAACAACATGCAGTCCGAACGAGACAATTTCTGAACGTCAGAATTACCATCCTCATTAGCAACTGTCTCATCTTTTCACAAGAATGTGTCGTTCCTTTTTAATGGAAGATGTGTTATTGTTCAAGAACTGTGACCTCGGCGATATCGGCAATTATCGCCCAATGTGCTTCCTGTCGGTTGTCTAGGAACTCTTCGCTCTAGTGGTTCTAAACAAGATTGACAGAACACTGGAGGAAAGACAGTCATGTGAGCAAGGAGGGTTTCGAAAAGAATTTAGTACTATAGATCAATCTAAACAATAGCACAGCTCAGTGAAATGTCGTGGGAATACAAGAGGCCGCTCTGTATCACTTCCATCGATTTAATGAAAACCTTTGACTCAATGATAGCTAACAGTCATGGAAGCCATTGATAGTCAAGGAGTCCCTACTCAGTTCATGAAGATTCTTCGTGAGCTGTACAAAAATTTCACAACCAAGGTATCACCATTCTACAACAATATTAACATTGACGTCAAAAGAGGGGAAAGGCAAGGCAATACCATCTAGCCAAAATCATTTACGTCCTCCCTCGAAAACACATGAGATCATTGGAATAGGGCAACATGGTAGTGAAAATAAATGGTAGAGAATCACCTCATCACCGCTTTGTTGATGATATCGTTCTTATCGACTTTGATAACGCCTGTGGAACGATTGATCTTCGACTAAATCTCACAAAACGATGTTTATGAGGAATAGATTGGTTTTGTATGCCCCACTCACGCTCAACGAAACGAATATCTGAAGTGCTTTAAATACGTCTATCTAGGTCGGGGAAATAACATGCTGAATAACTTACCTCCACAGTGAGTAGTATGAGGAAAGGAAAGGCATGTGGAGCTTTCAAGAGTGTCGAGGTTTTATTTCGTTTTTAGTGATCAGAACAAGGAAAAGCCGACTCCGCGGCCGCTTTTTCAACTCCAAGATTCTTCCTATCTGAACGTATGAGACAGAGACCCGGTTGCTACGTGCAGGACGCACGATCACGTGCGATGCTAGGAGTATTCCGTATCACGTAGGTGAGGAAGGCATCCAAACTTCCGACCTACTTCAACGATAGGAAACTGAGGACGCTGTTCTATAGGCCAAACTGTAGGGGATAAGGTTTGGCGGAGTCCTAATGCGTATGGACAACAACCAATGGACAAGAATCGTTATTAACTGGATTCTTTCGGATGTCAAAAGTACTGCAATAGGAGGACCACCGACTCAATGGTCAACGTTCTTCACGATAACACTGAAAGGAGGACGTGGTGCTCGGCGATTCTTAAGAGTGAGTAGAACCCATTGTGCTACTCTTGCGCGCGACGGGGAGAAATGGAAGATTTACTAGCGCTCGCTCAAGTCACTCGACGATCAGTGAGATGACGACAGATCCAGGTAATAATAGTAACACCTAGAGAACCAGTCAATTGTTTATCACTTCTTAGTGCAACTCATTTCTCTTCCAGGCCAATTTGTTCTGACCTCTGACGAAGCTTAATCGTGCTACATTAGCTTTTAGAAATGACGACATATAATAAATTGTAGCGTGCTAAGTATGGTTATCGATTTTCCCGAAAGCGATGCTTCTCTATAGGGCTCATTCTCATATTCGTTCAAATGTCGTACTAACTTTGATCTCTTATTTTCTCAGCTTTTCTTTAGCTTGTATGTTATTTCTGTGAGATCTTCATTTCAGATAATGAGGTTGAAATCCTTTTATTATTACAAGGAATTCGATTCAACATTTTATTGTTAAATCATCGAATCCTACAATATTCAGGCGCCAGACGATTGTCGTTCACCAACTGCAACTCCTATATGCGGGCAGCTGTGGAGTCATACGCTCATCTCAGTCTTGGTGAATTCGAAAAAGGGGTATGCAGTCAGTCACTGAACGGTTTTATCGTTGTCGGGATTTTTATCAGATTGTGTTTAAAGACTTCTGTTACCGTAGTGGGACATTTATTGTAGGTACAAATGAAACCGTATATGTTGGATAATCAGTTCTATGAAGAATGCATTTGTGAAGCGAATAAATTAAAACATTCTCCATTCTTTTGTCCTCATCTGGAATGTCTACAGGTTTGTCAACTATTATTACAGCATCTTAAAAACGACTTTCACTAAACCTTAGTAACAATAATCAACAACTTTTTAATGACTATGCTAGCACGTGGTTGCCATAAAACCTTTATTCGGTTAATGTTTCGGCCCCTTCGCCTTCCTCGGTGCCGCGTTGATCGTTGATGGATAATCTACTCGAATAAGCACGGCTCTGATGAGGAAGGCGAATATTCCGAAACTCTAGCCAAATAAAAGTTTATACCTACTTATTGGTAGCTCAATCATATAGAAAATTATTACAATATCGTTTGAAAAAAGACCTTTGTTTGATCCCAAAATCTTGTCTGGCTATACCGTGCAGTGCCAAAAAGGCGGTAATGTTCACTGATAGCCCAACTATGGAACCTAGTTGGCTGAGCCATTCTACGACAACGATATGTTGTTTTCTGGAAGTTTCCAGGATAACCCGCTCCAACGTGTAACGTCATCGGTTATATATCTAGTGAATAAAGTTATGTTCATATTTAGCAACGTAGTTGATGATGCATACTCAGGCATAACTTCTAGTGTGGTGACTAACTGACGGTCAAAGTTGGGTTCTCGTACCTTATTTTTGTCAGTCGGCTGGCAATAATACTACTTCATATCATTTGCGTCATTAGTTCGCTTTCATTTTCAATAATTTGCCATCTTTTCGTGGTAAGAGGTATTCTAGAATGTCGAACTGCAATCAACCATAGGCGGCTGTTTATCTTACTGTCAGGTTCACCTAACGTGTACTGAATTTTGAAATTTCTATCTGGCCTACGAAACACACCTATGATTAGATTTATTCTGTGACATAGCGCAGCGACTTGTGAATAATAAGTCGTATGGAAAGTGTATGTACTCTATGTCCTTTCAGCCAGTGAAGTCTAGTTGACATCTGTGGTGGCATAATAGGCCGAATGCTAACCTCTGATCGCTCGACTTACTCCGTGATTAACGAGACTGAATGTCATGTACATAATAAACGAAGCCACTTCTCATCATACTCCATTGTTACTTTCAAATATGAGAATGGAGAGAACTTACACTGATCTATCAATATTTCGATATCTCGTCTTCAATCAGCGATTCAAAACAGCACGGATGATTTTGAATATGAATCTTATATATTAACTAGTATTATTGCTGATATACTGTTACTGTTATTATTATTATTATTATTATTAATATCTAAATATACCCTTTAGAACCTGAAAAGGCTAAGTTGATATGCAACCTAGTCAGTTAATCAAGTACTTCCGTAATTTTAACAGAAAAACCCGAACTCAAGGTCATCAAAGTTTTGGCTTATTAGATTCCATGTCCACTTGACCTTTCAAAGCTCTGAGGAAGGCGAAATTCGCCAGAACGTCAACTGTTGTTGAATAAATAGTGTAATAACAACCTCATGTCTGCGCATGAAGAAAACAGTAAATTATTGATCAGTGCCGAGATTAATAAACAGTTTCTACTCGGAATAACTATAATAGTTGAAATCGCATACTATCAAGACTTGAAGTGTATAATAGGATAGAGCATTCGATGTTTATCAGCCCCTGAAGAATACGCCATTTATTCAGCTTCATCAGCCATCCATAAAGGTATGCCTGAATGCATATCTTTCCTATAGAATGCGATGTCTTATATCCTGCTAGGCAAGTCTGGTATTAATTTTGAGACCCAAGAAGGAGGAAGACTTGGTGCGCCGCGGGACATTCGATTGAACTAAAGACCAAGTGCCTTTTGCACAGCACCTCTAACCACCGCGATACGCGCGCTGAAAGAATTTAAATATTTGTTACCGACCGCCGAATATCATTTATCAATATCATCCGTACATCGATATGATCATATATTTTGCCACAATGGGTTGAGCCTTAGAAGCTCAAGAAGGGGAGGATTTAGTCTTAAATGCTTTTCCATCTGTCGAGAGACTTCTTTTGCTCCAAACAAGCACACAGTCAAATATTCTCAGATTTTGATTGTGTGGAACACTTCGGTGATATTAGTCTTCTATAAAGTTATTTTTGGGCATGTGCTCCTCTCTATTTTCTTTGCAACAGTGTTCTCTTTATCTTCACTTTGTACATCTCGCTTATTTCCTCTTTTCATTTTGGAATCACTGTGTTTTCATTTCAGTACCATTGTGAATCGCGCTACACATCGATGCATGGCACTCCATCAAAGCAACGTTATAAGCTTCGTATAAAAAAACGCATGATCTATTGCATATCGAATTTTCTTTCTTTTGCTTAATTTCGCTAACATCGTTGCTAATGTACGAATGGTCACAGTGAATGAACGAAGATTCATGTACGTCAAATGTTATGGATCTACCTAGAAACCACTCTATACAGGCCAAAGGTATTTATGAAAACAATAAACCTGCGTCCGATAACTCTGCATCCTAATGTGAAAAGACTAGGTTAATAAGTACCAACGGTTAAAATACAAAATAAGATAGGCGGTCCAGTTAAGGTGGGAATGTGGCGGTTCAACTTCGCACCAGCTTCTATGGAAGAATTCTTTGGTTTCAACGTAGTCAATTTTATTTACTGGCTACTAAATTTTAATGGCAGGGTCTTATGTGGGTCTTCGACTAAATCTCACAAAAACGATGTTCATAAGGAACGGATTAGTTTCATATGCTCCATTCACGCTCAACGGAACGAATATCTCTGAATGCTCCAGTTATGTCTATCTAAGTCGGGAAATCAACATGTTGAACGACTTAGCTCCAGAGTTGAGCAGAAGAAAATGAGAGGCTTGTGGAGCTTTCAAGAGCGTCGAGGACGTATTGAAGAGGACAAAGAACACCCGACTCCGTGCCCACCTTTTCGAATCAACGGTACTTCCCGCCCTAACGTATGCGTCAGAAACCTGATCGCTGCGTAAGCAGGAAGAAAGATCACTTAGCGTTATTGAACGCGCAGTCGAAAGGACGATGCTAGGAGTCTCACACAAGTAAGGGAAGGGATCCGAAGCTCCGGCCTGCGTCAGCGATCAAAAATCAAAGATGGCGTTCTGTACGCCAATGATACACGGTATTATGTGAAATATAACCATAATGCTGCTGAGGCACTTGCAAAACTCCAAACCGCTGGTGTCTGCGGTGGGGACCGAACACGCTGTCACCGTTTCCGTGGTCCGGCGCGTTCCAAACCACACTATGCGAGTTCATCGTTTCGCTTGTCTCTCAGCCGTGTTGTTGACGTATAGTCGATATCACCAATCACCCGTCAGCGGGATTGATCTGGGGAGCACAAATCTCTTTGATTTCATTTGATGTACTTCTTCTCCTGCTGTTCCTCCATGTTTAATCTTTTGCCATACCCTCGCTGTAGGGATAATACGTTTCTAAGCTCCCAATTACGGTGTACGGCACCTTTGATGGTTGAGTATTTGTGGTTAGGCTGGAACCCCACGGCTACAGTGATTTCAGCTTTCTTCAACACAATGCCCCAGGTAGTTGCAATCCCTTGTGAACCGGAAGGAAACTTTGTGACTTTCACAGTTTGATAGCAGTTTGATACCTTGTGGACTCTGGTGTTCATTTGCTGTTACTGCGCTTCTGAATGGAAATAAAACTCATTACAATCTTGGAAGACCCTATTGGAAAATGAACTACTAGTATATATCGCTGCTCGTCTACCAGTAACACCTTCATCCACGTTGACCCAGTAAACTACTGAGGCTGAGAATATTGAGCGCGATGGGGGAATGACAGAAAAAACATCAGTGTCCTTGGACAATGCTCATGGAAGTTCAACAGTCACATACAAAGTTTAGTTGTAATGCGTAGCTCAAACCATCAATACCTATCGCATTTTAGGGAACGAGAGGATCACAAGGCAGTAGCGAGGGATAGATGAATTAGCCGGTCATTTAGTAAGAAGAGCAGATGACGGATGGGCAAAAGGTACTAGGTCGTACACTCCAAAACAACGCACGCCCCGCTCGGGTGACTACATGATGGGTTGACGTGTTTGCGGTGCATATCAACTATTTGGGTCACGAATATCGCAATAGTTAGAGGTGTACTGCAACACACGTGGTCTTCGATTCAATCCAGCGCGTTGAACTTACCGCGCCTTCCACTGACTCGACGTCACAAAGTGGGTCGGAAGGAAGGATAGCAGCGCTAACTTAGTGTTTCGGTAGGACATAACAAGTTACTATATGGTCCGTACATACATTCATTCAATGATCTCTAACAATGCTAAATGAAGTTGAATGTATAGCGCATCCGTTACGGATTGACCAACATAGAAAGCTTCTTCGTATTTTTGTTGAGCAAACGCGAGGTGTTACTATTCTTTGTTCACGATTAAGCTGACGTTTCGGCGAATTTCGCCTTCTTCAGAGCCGCTTTCTATGAGGTTTCCACTAAGTATGTCACGCAGAGACCATCCGCACAGAAATCACGTGGAAGTATAGTGGACATTATACTTCCACGTGATTTCTGTGCGGTTGGTCTCTGCGTGACATACTTAGTGGAAACATCATAGAAAGCGGCTCTGAAGAAGACGAAATCCGCCGAAACGTCAGCTTAATCGTGAACAAAGAATAGTAACACCTCGCGTTTGCTCAACAAAAATACGAAGAAAATCACTTGATCAATGCCGAGGTTAATAGAAAGTCGGTCGTGGCAGTTACTGCATAGAAAGCTTCATTCTTAATTACCCAATTAGACTAGATTAGTGCATGGGAATAATTGGTTTGCGAAATACGCTACACTTAAGAGCATCACCGTTTCCCAGGACTGCCTTTCTATTAACTTCGGCATTGGAATATACGCGTCTTTTTCTGTTTCAGCAATGACGAGGTTGTTGTACAGCATACGTTTACTTCCATACAAAGACACAATACAACAGTAGCTGACGTTTCGGTAGTATCGCCTTCTTCGGAACCTGGAAGGGTATATTGATATGAAATTTACTAGGCCAAACGCTTCAATAACACATACAGAAAAACGAAAATCTATATGATAATAACATGATCAGCAGCTTCTCCAACTAACCAGCGTTTTTTTACGTGTCTTCCACTGAGGAAGAGAAGAGCAGCTGATTATAGTCGCACATGGTTGATGATTGCACCACACCCCATCAAAACTGATACGAATATACGGGGCCAGGTCGCGTGTAACCTCTGGGCATTCCTTTCTACTATTTATTGCAAGGTTCTTGGCATTTATCCAAAAAGCCTTAAGAAGTTTGCGCGTTAATCTTTGGGGATCCTATGGGAAGATAATGACTTTTATATCAAAATCGCCTCCGCTATGCTTTTGTATTCTATGCGTCCCTAGTAGGGTACCTCGTCTTGCTTTTCGTTGGCCATCTGGGTGTTTTTTTATGCGGTTACATAAAGGTCTACCCGTTTCGCCAATATATTCGTCTCCGCGACTACCACAAGAGATCAGGTTATATCGTACCTGAACTCATGCAGTCACCGTACCTGCTATAAGGGTAAATTACGCAATTTTCTGTTTCACATAGACGGTCATACAAGCGGTTACGAACGAACTGACGACGTAGAGTAGCCGGTGGTATTTCAACTATCGCTGCCCCTACCGCTACCTTCGAGGCCCTGAAGAAGACGATGTTGCCTTCTTTACTATATATAAGAAGACAGATGCTGTTGTATTGTGCGAACAACTTTGCGATTGCTGAACAAGAAGACGACGCATTTATGAGCGTCACCATTATAAAAGAAAGCAACCGCCATTGCTCTTCTTTTTTTACCCACATCATCAGTTTTTCTTCGCCTCTATAACAACATACTCTAGCGGGTCTATTAACTATCATTAGTAACGCTATCAGAAATACGATCACATTTTCCTCTTGCTCTTGGGATGAAATGATGCTTAGCATTGCTTAAAACCGACCCTTATTCAATGTCGGTGTGAATAATCAATATACTTTTCAGACTGCTCAGCTTACACGAGGGTGGCCTGCATTTTCATTTTGGCTTACGTTCCGAGGTCTTCGTCTCATTCGGATCCAGATTGATCCGAATCTATGGTCCACAGTCATTCGTCCTCTCGATGTGGATTTTCTTTCTCGTACGAGTTGAGCTACTCGGTAGAGCCTCTTTTATACAGAACGGTTGATGTTGATTTTCCACTGATAACGATAAGCGTTCATGAAAACAATGCATGTTGTATTAGTCGGTATTATACTAGCTAGCATTTAGGGTTTTGCTGAAGGTGCTGTTAGCCTTAACGTTATCACTTTCAACAATACAAAATGTATGCGATGCTGTCAGCACTACCAAGCAAGACTGTTTTCTCGCAAAGAATTAAGCATTTTAGAAGTGAGTGTCCAATGATGTTTTATTTTTCCTTAAGCATCAATGTTGGATGAAACTATGACCATCCAAATGGTGTTCTAGAAGAAAAGTGTTGTAGTATTCCTCCACACAACCATAAGCAAAATTGCTACATCTTGGCAAACCACCTCTATTCAATGGCAATATCAAAACTACATAAGTGCATACCTGTATAAACAGCTCGCGGGCATAGTAATTACTAATAATTACTGATCCAAACGACTATTTTCGAAATCAGATTGGTGTTCCCGTAAGCAAAACGGGAGCTATACTTATGGGCACAGCGATGGCTTTGCATGCGAGAAGTCTGGGGTTCGATAATACTCCCTCATATCTCCTCCATACGCTTTGTACCTTACGTCAAGGACTAAAAACAGTCTGATTCCCATCAATAGCAGCAAATCAATCGGTGTACTTATATTATATATATATATATATGCATACAAAGGCTTAAAAAGCTCTCAGTGTTGATCATTTCCTGAGGGATGTACCATGCACTGGACTTCACTAAACATCGTTTGAGGCGACTGAATGCATATCTGGCCTTTTACAATAACTCGCGGTGGTCTACCAATGTATCCAGTCAGTGATGTTATCCTCCTAGACAAGTCTGGTGCTAATTTGTCGACCCTGAAGGGATACGAGACTTGCTGCGCTTAGGGAGCGGATTTCGATCCTATGCGTATTGCAAGGCACATCCCACCACACGCCACACGCGTCACTATGTATTACCTGTATCACGTGTAGTTCCGTTCATCGTCGAGTGATTTGGGCGGGGGCCAGTAAATCTTCCATTTTTCCCAGTCGCGTGCAAAAGTAGCCCAGTGGGTTCTACTCGCTCTAGGGACTCGTCGATCATCATGTTTTTCTTCTAGGCTTTTCGTGAAGAACTCTGACCATCGCGTCGGTGGTCTTCTGCAGTAGGTTTG